TTTTTTCTGTATGAATTTCTTTATTTAATGAGACTCAAGCTGGCAAATTCATTTACTTGTGTTAATCAGGGTTTTTATCATTTCATCATGAAGTTAAGATGTACCCTTTCTTTACTGCCACGGATTAAGGGTTACAGAAAAATCCAGACACAATGTGAATAATGAAAACAAACAATAACGACTTAAAAGGGTTGGGATCTTCAGTGAAAAGAGCTTCCGGTCGGAAAATCATATTTGAAAAACAAAACAAATGATTTATTTTATTTAGTCGGACTCAGACCCATGATTTTATCCCATCACCTGAAAGTCTTTAAAGTTTGAACCCTAAGTTAAACGACAGGATTTACCCATCAGAAAGAATCACAACAGACAACAGTAAATAAGAGAAAACAAAAAAAAAACTCTTTGGGGTTTAATAGTTCTTCAAGCCAAAGTCACACCATTCATAGCTCCCTTTCAAGGTAAGGGTCTCGAGGAGATTTCGATCCGAGATACTCTGAAACATCTGTGACATAAGTCTTCAGCTTCGATGTGGTGCGAGTGAGCCACCCGGCGTTTGCCTGCTCTATCTCGCTCTCCATTTTCAACCTCTCTTCCTCTTCCAACATTTCGATCCTTCTCTTACCCATATACATCTTCACAGCTTCAACACCTTCCTTCACCACTTCCTCGGGTGGGACCACGAGCGGGTTCTGGTCCAGGTTCAGTTTAGTCAGGCTATCTAGTGTACCAAAAGTGTCTGGGAGGGCGTGGATTTGGTTGTTACTTAAGTCCAGTTCTTGGAGGCTTATGAGGTCGCCGAATGAGGAAGGGAGATCCCTGAGATCACTGAAGTTACTGCTTAGGTTTAGGTACTCGAGGTTCGTGAGCAACACGAAAGAATCAGGAAGGCCGTGCAGTTCGTTGAAGTGGGCGTCGAGGTGTTTTAGGGATCTCATTTCGCCTACACTTGTCGGTAAGGATCGGATCTTGTTATACTGGATCAGGAGCTTCTCTAGATTCACTAGCTCGAATCCGATGTTGGTTGGTAAGTAGGTGAGACGGTTGAAGCTCACATCCAAGATAACCAACGACCTGGGATTTTTGATGAAAGAAGTGGTTAAAATTGATTAAAAAACCAAAACTTGACAAAGTTGAGTTATCGTACATACCCACAACGGCAGATGGAATCAGGCAAGGAAGTAAGCTTGTTAGTGGAGGCATTAAGGATTTTCAGTTTGGACAGTAGACCGATGGAATCAGGTAATGTCTCCAGAAGATTCCCAGAGACATCCAACTCAACAAGATTATTTAATCCAGCTATTGAATCAGGAATTGCCTGTTGTTGGACATAAACATCAGTCAGGTAAGACGCATGAGAATCACCAACTGAGTGATCTTTCAAACTTTTTTTTGGAAAATCATTAAGAAGTCAGAAAAAACTAGTGCGGCTCTAGCCATATATCCAGCCTCTGAACAATCAAATCTAGCATGGACATCAGTAACAATCACTTGCAAAATGTGAATGAACCAATATGCCATAAAACAGCAAATATTAACCTGCAGGTGCTGTTCCTGCAAATACTAACTTATTGGACACAGTTTCAAAGACTCCTATCCTTTTGATATTGTTTTTTACAACCAGCAATATCAAAGATGCAGAACCAACATAAGCAAGCATGCCTAATCTCTTCAAATTACATCAAACTAGAAATCATTGTTATGGAAACTTAAATATTAGCAGCCAAAATCTAAAGACGTAAAACCAAAACAACCATACACATACCGGAATCTCTTTCAATCACATCAGACTAGACATCATTGATACTCAATCTCTTTGTCACATCATAAAAGGCATTGCTTTCACCAAAGATCAACAAAAAAAACAAAACCAAACAGAGTAATCTTTGCGCTCCCTATCTATCAACTTTAACTAAAGGGATTACTAATCAACCATTGTATAATGCTCAATAAACTTACCTTTAAGCTACACTAAAGATTGCCAAATTCTCAAACCTTAAACCAAGATGGATCTTTTAACACTTAAACAGATTCAGACTCACCATTTCGCAACAATGGAGCAAATAGTGATTTTTTTTAATTTTGAAAATAAAGTATTTCAGAAGGAATAAGAACTAACCTCGAGCTGATTATTGGAGAGGTTAAGAACAAGCAATCCTTGAATCCGTCCAAATGCTTCAGGGAGCAATCTCAGTTTCCTCCCAGACAAATCGACGCGATCCACCGGATTACCCAACGCGTGCTGCAATATACTCACAACTTCCTCATTAACTTCCACCGCCGCAACACTCTCCTCATCCTCCGCCGCGGCATTCTTCTCAGCAGATTCATAAATCCTCACAAGTCTCTCCTCTGCTTCTTTCAATAGCTTCTCATACGAAGCATGAACCTCATCCAATTTCAAAATCGACTCACACCACGTCTTCTCTTGATCCATCTCTAACCTCCTCTTCTCATCTTTCGCCGCAGCATCGTTAAGCGCAATGTCCTCGAACGATTCCGATAAAGACGCTTCGATTTCCGAGAGCTTAACACGGGCCTTGTCGACGGTCTCGTGATCAGGTCTGGGTCCTAAGGTTCGTAGTACAGATCGGGTCTCGGCGACGTCAGAGATCGCACCGGTCATGGATGCGAGAACGCCTGGTTGAGTCAAGTGAGGCATCTGAGTGACGATCTCGATCGATGACGGTGGTTGCTCGACATCGA